TTTTTTGTTTCTTTCCAGTTTCATTGCACTGTGGTTAGATAATGTGCATGGGATAATTTCTGTTTTCTTGCATATACTTAAGCATGACCTATGGACCAGCATATGGTCTATTTTAGAAAATGACCGATGTGCAGCTGAGAAAAATGTGTATTCAGCTGTGTTTGTGTGGAACACTCTGTGTATGTCCACTAAGTCCATTTGTTTCAAGCTCTGGTTCAGTTCTTTTAATTCTTTGCTAATTTTTTGTCTGCTTGAACTTTCTTTTTGGGATAAGGAGGTGTTAAGGTCTCCTGTTAAGATTGTTGTATTGTGCATTAGATTTTTCATGACCATTAAGATTTGTTTTACATAGTTGGGTGCTCCCATGTTTGGTGCATACATATTTATGAGTGTTACCTCTTCCTCTTTATTTTTCCCCTAACCAGTACATAGTGGCCTTCTTTATTTTGCTTGATCATTCTTGGTTTGAGGTTGAGACTGTTTGAGAACAGCATTGCTCCCTCTGCTTTTTTCTGAGGTGCTGGAGCATGTAGTATTGTTTTCCATCCTTTGACTTTCACCCTATGAATGTCTTTCTGAGTTAAATGTGTTTCTTGTATACAACATATTGTTGGATTTTTTTTTCTAATCCACTGTACTGGTCTATTTCACTTCATTGTTGAATTGAGTCAATTTACATTGATGCTTATAATTGAGATGTATTGACTTATGATTGACAAGTTATTTACCTGCTGTTATTTATTCCTTTTACTCCTGTGTTTAATTGTTTGCCCTATTAAGTTGGTTGCTTCTCTTTTGATTTGTGGAGTTCTGATCATTTTGGTCCCTCTCTAGAACATCTTTCAGAAGCCTGGGTAGGGTCGTGTTTGTCATCATGAAATTCTTTAATTGTTCTTTGTCATGGAAGCATTTTACTTCTCCATCAAACTTGAAAGAGAGTTTTGCAGGGTATAGTAGTCTGGGCTGGAATTTGTTTTCATAGAGGACTTGAAGTATTCTGCTGTGTGCTCTTCTTGCCTTCATGGTTTGTACAGAGAAGTTTGTTGTAATTTTGATGGGGTTTTTTTGTATCATTTGCATTTACTCCTTTCTCATTATGCCTAATAGTCTTATGTTGTTCATCTTTTCATCTTTGCAGATGTTGAATTATTTTCTCCTGCATCCTAGTTGTTTTTAAGAGATCTTTTCTTACCTTTTCACTAGCTGTGCCAGCATCTTCAAGATCTGAAACTCTGTCTTCACTTTCACTCAAACGGTTTTTCAGGCTTGTGATTGAGATTTTAAGTTCCTCTATATCTCTTTGACTCTGCTTCATGCGATCTATTTTTTTCCTGTATTTCTCATTCAAGAATTCCATCATTTTTTAATCTCCTCTATTTTTTTATCAATGTCTTCTTTAGAAGCAGTTATTAATTCTTTTACTGCAGTTTTTTCAGACTGGGTTTCCTCCATATGTTTCTGTATTTGATTCTTTACTTCAGATGCTATGAACTCAAAGATTTTTTTTTTCATTTCAGAAATTAATTGTGCTCTGAGTTCCTCTATACCTTTCTGCTGTTGCTTATTTACTTTTGATACTATTAATTCATACATTTCAGCTGAGCTAGTGTCCTCTGCACTTGTTCTGGGTGGGCGTTGGGTTTCTTCCATATGTTTCTGCATTTGATTCTTTATTTTAGTTGGTATTGATTCAGAGATTTCTTTTTTTATTTCCAATCTGAGTTCCTCTGTACCTTTCTAGAGTTGTTTCTTTATTTCAGACACTCTTGATTCATTGATTTCAGTTGTGTGATTCCCAATTTGTTTGTGCTAGTGTCCTCTGCATTTGTTATGGATGGGCTTGGGGTCTGAGATTACATTTTGCTCCTTTTCATTGTCATTTTGTATAGCACTCTCTTCTGACTTTTGTTGTAGAGCTTTGGTGCAGTTATTACCTTAGCACCTACTGAAATTCAGGTACAGGTCCACAAAGTTTGAATTTATCCAATTGTGCCTTGGTTCTGGCTACTGTGCTCAGCTCCTTCCTGCTGATGCCTATGGGAGTGAACCTGTTGTGCTCCTTTGGCAAGATGTTCTGCTCCTGGACTAGCTAGGTCATTCTGTCCCCTACTTTCTCTGCAGGGACTAGAGCTGCAGAGTTTACCCCCAGGCCTGTATGCCAGGCATGAGCTGGGTCTGAAGGGAACAAGGGGGAGTAGGGGAGAGGGGAAGCTCTCCTACACACTCCCTCAGCCTGGGCTAGGGCTGCATCTTGGGTCCTGAGAATGTGGCAGATGTTTTTACTCAGCAGGAATGGGGCGAGGGAATACGGAGTGGTGGGCAGGTCCCAAGGGGATGGAACATGGTCTCCCTCATGCTGCTTGTCTGGGTTTGGACCAGACAGGTCCCGCAGGTGCATGATAGCCATTATTTCTTGATTTTGTCTAATTTTCTAGCTAATATTTCCATAAGTATACTCACTAAATGTGATGCTAATGGACATCCTTGTCTAGTTCCTGATTTTAGAGTGAAAGCTTTCAGTTTTTGACTATTTAATATGATATTAGCTGTTGATCATAGATGCTTCTTATAATATTGAGATAGAGACCATTTGTTCCAATGTTCTGTAGGGATTTCATCATGAATGAGTATTGGGCTTTGTCAAAGCTTCTTGTCTATCAATTGAAATTATCATGAGGTTTTTGTTTCTGTTAAAATGGTGCATTACATTTATTGGTTTTTGTATGTTAAGCCATCCCTGGTATTAATCCTACTTGGTCATGATGTATAATCTTCCTGGTGCATACACCTTCAGTAAAGTTTCTAATCTTCTGTATTTCTGCTTGGATCTGCTTATGATTCCATTTCTTGTTTATGTTTTTCTTTGGTGGTTTCCATCATTTTCCTAAGCTCCTCTTTGTTTACTTGTGTTTGATTTAATGTCTTTTGTTTTGAAAATAGACACAAAAATCCTCAAAAGATAACAGCAAGCACAATGTAGCAAATATTCAAAAAGATTATACTCCATTACCAAGTAGGATTCATACCAGTGATGTAGGGATGATTCAATATATGTGAATCAATAAATGTAATACACCACATTAATAGAACCAGACAAAAACCTGAATAGATGCAAAAAAGCATGTGACAAAGTCCAATATCTAATAATGATAGAAAAAATAGAAGTTCTTTATTTCAATTGGATAAAATTCAACTGTGACCATTCAACAACCATCATCATACTAAATGGTCTAAACTAAAACTTTCACTTTAAAATCAGAAACAATGCAAAGATTCCTTCCATGACCACTCCTACTTAATATACTTCTGGAACATTAGCCAGAACAGTTAGACAAGAGGGAAATATAAAATAAATAAGAATACAAAGGAAGAAGTTAAATTATCATTATTTTTGGGTGGAATGATATTCTACAAAGACTCCAAAAATTTCTATATTGAGTAACCAAACTAAGCAGTGTATCAGAATACAAAGTCAACACTCAAAAATAAATAGTATTCCTGTACACAAACAACAAACTTACCAAGAGAGAAATTAGGGAAACACCTTTCATTACAGCATCAAGGGAAATGTAATAATTAGGAATCAACTAAAACGATGGAACTAAACTATCTTTACATGGAAAACTACAACACTCTGAGAAAGATCAATGAGGATATAAAAAATGAAAAGATGTCTATTGTTCTTGAATAAACAGAATCAATACGGTGAAAATGACCATACTTCCAAATCTATTCACATATTTAATGTAATCTTGATTAAAATACCAACAGTAAACCTTACAGAACTATAGAAAGTTATCCAAAAATTTATTTTGAAGCAGAAAAAATCTACAATAGCAGCAACATCCTTGAAGATCAATGGCAGGCAGGGGCATCCCAATCCCTGACTTGAAATTATAGCATAAAGCTTCTGTGGTAAAACAGAATGGTACTGACAGAAAAACAGACCCCCAAAAATGTTTTTGAAATTTATTTAGTTTTGTCAGAGATGGGCATTCCATTGTCATTTAAATATTGAGATGTGAATTCAGCAAAATAATCCAATATAGTCTAGTACTCCATAATAGTAGTGGGTTATCTATAGGACTGGCAATGTCAGAAGTTGTTGACTTGAACCTTTTACAGCTCAGTATATTAATAGGGCTTTGCTTTTATACCTTGTTTTTATACTTTTCTGCTGGATGGTTTAGACCAAGATAAAGCAAGACCTGTATAACAAGAAATATAACTTTTGATTCTGACAAGGTCAGTCAAATCCCATCAGGATTTATCTTGAAACCCTGCACTGCAGTTTGTAGATCCTTTGTCAGTTTCAGCCATGTGGATGAGTCATGGCCATTGCTTGACCAATTTGCTCTCTGTGAAAACCTGAGAGAATGTTTTCTCTCCATGTGACTCTCCTTAGGCACAATCTACATCATCAATCATTTTCCTCTGTGACCCCATAATCACCTTGATACCCATCTCTGACAAAACTAAGTAAAAAACAAAAGGTATGTAAATGAAGGACCATTTTGTATCTGTATATACAAAATAGTTAAGATAGATATACAGCTACTCTCTCTTAATTCAATGAGAAGAAAGATTTGTACTAACATTGTTTGGACAGGATACCATATCTTCATCTTGTACTGTGAATAACCACTATGAAGACAACAAC